GTAAAGACCTCTTATGGATCTTCACCAGCTCTATTTGTGAGCATTTGCCACTTTTGCATGAAGTCTCTCTATTACACAATTACAGGTTTTCACCTCAGACACTTACTAACCTTAGTAGATTTGATGGATGCCCATTTCCATTTCCATGTGGCACAGAATCAGAGGTTCCTCAGTTTTTGCATTTTCAATCATCGTCATTTCAGTTTTAGGATCTAGGATTTGTATCAGTACAAATGTATTGTACAGTTATTGGTCTCCTAAGAAAAACATTGTGTGGCTGTGTTTCATTGCCTAGCAATATTCTTGTTGTAACTCCAGATGTACAGACCATGTTTCGACATGGGGAAATTGTCCATTAGAACATCAGCCATTTCATTGATCAACTAGAACAAAAGTAAACTTGCCCAGGGATCTGTTTTCATGAATACTACATTCAACACTATGGTTTCCTGTTGAATGTGGAAAGATAAGTTATTTCCTGATCCAGTACTCTTCATCCACTTTAAAGTTACTTCCAAAAAAGATCCAATCTATGAATTCACCCCAGATAACAGATTCTCCAGATTCACTCGTGGTTACAGAGAGACAATCAGAACAAATGTTTTCATAAAGTCTGGAATATCCAAAATGGCAAATACTAGATGCAAGCCCAGTGGCTCCCAAGCCCAGCTGCTTAAATATACATTATTAATTAAAGGTATTTGTTATATCTGGACTGCCATAAGGTCTCAAAGGCAACATAGGGCCAACAAACCAATCCGGCAAATTTCAATGTTCAAAACCTGAAATAGGCAAGATCTTTATTTGAGCCTGTAACTTTCCAAAACTCAATAAAACCTGTACATAGGAATACTGTTGTACTTGTGAGACATTGCTGAACACAAATATGTGTATTTTATTGCTGTAAAAGATAACAGTATTATAACATTCACAGATGAAAAAACATGCAGACGTTGGAAAATACAAACATTTCTTAATTTCTACCACTTTTTTAGATTTTATTCAAATACATCTGTGTTTCATATATAGATATTTGATGTAAAATCAAAGCCATATTTCTCCTGAACAAAATGATAAATAATAAGTGTGTGTGCACTTAAAATAAAAATGGCAAATTATGGTTGAACAAACATATAGCTTAATTTCGAGGTTTTGTCAAAAATTGTACAATTCCATTAGTCATTAAGGGGTAAAAGATGATGGGGTATTTGATAAAAAGGTTAATACAAGTTATAGGTTACTAGCAATCTTTCATTCAATTGTGTAATTTCTAGAGAAGTGACAGTTCCCAGTCAATACAAAAAGAGTATAGAACAAATTAATTAAATTCTTTCCTACCAGATGGGAATGATCAAAATCCCATCAAAAGATGCCATTAATATGTACTGACTGAAATGCAATAAATGTATACTTGAAGCAAATCATATATTAAACTGTTCTTTTTTAGGGGACAACACAAAGCTATAATAATGACCCCAGGCATCTGCATTATCATGAAAGGTTGTAACAGTTTAATAAATGAAAAATAAAATGAATACGGGATTAGTCGTTTTTCAGTCCTAAGCAATTGGTGAATGATCTGAGCTTTCCGATGAGCAAATGCATGGTAATTTCATGCAGCTCATGGATACAAAAATACCTGAATGCAATAGAGTCACTGTTTGTGAGGATGCATAATATTTAAGCCAAGTTCATGATAATATTGTAAATACCAGTCACCATCACTTTTCATACCACATGGCATTGCTCCCCTATTACAGACTAGTGCAGCTAGGGTAATAGGTTTTAACATTATGATCGAACACTCTCATATATAAGGTTTCCAATTACAGATTATATTGGCAATGCAAAACACATAGAATGAACAAGAAGAAAAGCATCCCTAGTAGCAAGACACTGTGGACCACAAGAAGTTCAAAATTATGCCCAAAGACTTGTAAAGCAGTGTACCAACCGAAAAAAAAAGATGTGGTCTCCCATAAGTTTCAAACAAGTGGATGGACGCCCAGCCAAATGGTCTGACACCAATAGTGATGTACCGAACGGTTCGCCGGCGAACAGTTCCTGGCGAACATAGCATGTTCGCGTTCGCCACGGCGGGCGAACATATGCGCGGTTCGAC